TGTTTGTGTTTCTGTTTCTGTTTGTGTTTTTGTTTGTGTTTGTGTTGGTGTTTGTGTTTCTGTTTGTGTTTTTGTTTGTGTTTGTGTTGGTGTTTGTGTTTCTGTTTGTGTTGGTGTTTGTGTTTCTGTTTGTGTTGGTGTTTGTGTTTGTGTTGGTGTTTGTGTTTCTGTTTGTGTTGGTGTTTGTGTTTCTGTTTGTGTTGGTGTTTCTGTTTGTGTTGGTGTTTGTGTTTCTGTTTCTGTTTGTGTTTCTGTTTGTGTTGGTGTTTGTGTTTCTGTTTGTGTTTGTGTTGGTGTTTGTGTTTCTGTTTGTGTGGTGTTTGTGTGGACAGGTTCTCCACAGTCTAACTGTTCCCTGGTCTTGTTGTGTTTTTCAGCGAAGCAGAAGTGGGTCCACTGCCAGGAGAAGAGGAGCTCCCCTCAGGTACTGAGCTGGAACACCATGAAACTGAGACAGAACCAGAACTGTCAGAACCTCAGCAGGTTTTAGACTGAAGGCTTTTAAAACGTTTTATTTTCATGAGAACAGCTGCCTGGTTAGCATCAGCAGCCTAAGCTAACAACTAACAGCTAACAGCTAGCAGCACAGAGCTGCAGCAGAACGATGAGGAAAGGTTCTGATGGACCTGAGAGTTAACGCTGTCAGATCTTCAGGCTTCATCTGAGTCTTGTCTCTGTGGACTCAGAGGCCGAGCAACAGGAAGGGACACAGCGCTGTGGTCATCGGAGAGACCATGTTCATTTATGGAGGATTTGTAGACGTTAAAGGACCCTCACAGGAGCTCTGGGGTCTGCACTTCGGTGAGTTATAAACACGTTTTACTTTTATCGAAACAAATAAAACTTATCAAAGTTTGCATTTCTTCTTTCTGTCCTCCACTCTGAGCTGTTCTCACTAAAGTTCACTTAGTGCATCTGATACAAAACCACTGCATCATCATCATCATCATCATTTAACCCAGGGATGTCCAAAGTGTGGCCCGGGGGCCATTTGTGGCCCCTGACTTCAGTTCAAGAGTTATACTAATTTGTTTACAAATTTGTCCCCCTGGCACATGTGTTTGATGTAGTGTAGATGGAGACTACAAATATTTATGTGTGGATGCTCCAGCATTCACACTGTTGTTTTCATGTTTCTCTTTATTCTTTATTATTCCAGTTTCTTCCGTACGTTTTTTTGGACCGCTTCTCCTTCCACAGTTTTTGTGCTACTGAAACCATTCATATGTCAAAATGTTCAGCTCATTAAGGACATTCCAGCTATGACTTTTGGTAACTTAACTTTTTATACTTTTTTTAGCCATTTCAATTTTTAAGCAGTTTTTTTCCCATTGACTTTGAATGGGTACATTTTTTGGACTGTTTCTCTTTCCACAATTTTTATGTTACTGAAACCATTCATTTATCAAAATGTTCAGCTCCTTCAGGACATTTCAACTATGATTTTTGGTATCTTAAATTTTTTAAGTTTTTTTTACCAATTTCAATTTTTAGGATTTTGATGATGATGATGTCATCAGTGACAGTAAATTAATTTATTAAATACATCTGAATACAGCAAGCATTTCCAACGAGAGTGACCTAAATCCTGATTTTATTGATCAGAATTGACTAAATTGGGTTATTTTTTCCCCAATTGAAACCTAGAAAACTGTAAACTTTCTTTCAATAAAGGAAACCTGCAAAACACTTTTAAAGTTCTGGATCTAGATGAATTTATTCATCCATTTCCAACAATAAATCTGACTCCTTTATTTGTTTAATTAAAGTAATCAATGCTTAGTTTATTGTTGAGCAGGTAAAGGACAAATATTTTTGGCCCTCAGGTCCTTCTGACTTTATGATTTTGACCCATGTGACAAAATGTTTGGACCCCATTGCTTTAACCCAAGACCTGCAGTCATCCACCAGTCTGCTGGGTCCACATCAGTCYTGGTCTCTGTGGAACCTCTAACTCTGTGTCTCTGACTAACAGGTACCTCAGGCTGGTCCCTGCTGAGTCATCCTGACTCGTCGAGTCCTGGACCCAGACACAGTCACTGTGCCGTGGCCTACCGGGGCTCCATGTTCCTGTTCGGGGGTCTGAAAGGTCTGCGGGAGCAGAGAGACTTCTGGGAGTGGAACTCCAGCAGTCAGACGTGGACCTGCCTCAAAACCAAGTAAAGAATTTCTGTTGGTTCAACATGTGAAGACCTGTGACCTGGTAGAGCTGAAGACCAGGACCAGACTCAGAAACTGTTGGACATAAATGGATCAGATCTGAACAAAATGTTTTACAGATTCAACCGAAACCTTAAAGTTTTTATATTTAAATCTGTCCTGAGTGTCTCTGTGTGTCTCTGTGTGTCTCTGTGTGTCTCTGTGTGTCTCAGAGTGTCTCTGTGTGTCTCTGTGTGTCTCTGAGTGTCTCTGTGTGTCTCTGTGTGTCTCTGTGTGTCTCTGAGTGTCTCTGAGTTTCTCTGAGTTTCTCTGTGTGTCTCTGTGTGTCTCTGTGTGTCTCTGTGTGTCTCAGAGTGTCTCTGTGTGTCTCTGTGTGTCTCTG